GTGTTATTAGTATAAAATGAATAAAAGTTATCTAGTGCCTATATTTTTGAAAATGGAAGAATATCATGGATAAATATAACCTTGGTAAATTTTAATGTTTTTCTGCTTTATTGTATAATTAATGATTATATATAATTATTTTTTCATTCATAAAACCTGTAATTAGGAAGACAAAAACTCAGTCCTGATGGGGTTCATAATAGTCGTATCCTAGTAAATACTAGTGTGCACAAGCTACAATGTTCTTTAACTAATCAGGCAGCCAGTAGCAAGTTACTTAGATGGTCAAAATATACATATCTATTTATTTCACACAGCTTGATATTAAAAAATCAAATCTGATGCCTATATTGAGTATATTCTGTCATATAATTTATACTTCCTGTAACACAAATAGGTCGATATATGCATACACGAATTTATATTAATACAGTTATTATAGGATCCATGATGTATATTTTTAGGTTCCACTGTAGGTTCCACTGTATTTTCATTGGCATACACAATAATTTTGGTACAAATGTATAGTGTGAGTTTTCAATTGGATCAATAGTGTCAACAGTTGCATAAATTGGCCTCGGAAATCTGGAAGACATGGTACAAAAGGGCAAACTAACAATTTTCTAGAAAAACGTTTTCTACATATATCATCTATCATGCTTCCTTTTTTATCACGATGGAACATATTCTGTTTTTGCACTGAATTCGGGAAAGTTTTAGTTTTACACGCATGCGCACAGCCATAGTAAATATTGCGCGGGTTGCAGTTTTTCCGCGAAAGTTAAGTTTTCTGACGAAGAAAGAAGCTTTATATTTACATTAATAATAAAAAATGGCTATTGACTTGACAGAAGGCGCAATTGAGGTAAAATAACTGTTGACATATATGATATGTTGGAAATTGTAGTGTTGGCGTTAAGTTTTGTCGTCAAAAATTTGGGCAAATTCATTTTCTTTTTACCCTGAAATTTTTATTAGAAGCCTGAAATAATATGGGTCCAATTAAAATGGTAAGGAGGCGTAAAAGGTTGGTCATATGTACACGGAACAGTGAACGTACAAGAAGATTTATTAACATGAACTTTAGACAAACAAGCAGTGAACAGGTGAACAAAAATGCAAAGTCTTATTCTACCCACAGACACTTGGGGCTATGTGCGTGGCTCCTCTTATTGACAGCGCCGCCTCTTGACCCAAAATTGTATACACCATGTCTTTTTTTATTTTGCAAACCGTACATCCAAATAGTTTTGCATATTATCAGGGTTCTCGGGGACGCTTATTTAGGCGTCCAGGTACGCATGTTTATTACAGCTGGACGCAAATATTTAAGAGCAAGGATTCCACGTACGCTTAATTTTACCTGGGGACGCATAAACATAACCGATTGTTTACAACCACAAATGCGTCAGCCCATGTCAGTGTATAGGTAGGCGGTCCTATGCACATCGACCCATTAAGCGATAAGCCAATCAGCGATAACGCTTCCGATCATTATCTCGCAATAGTGATCAGACTAATATATACATGCGCTGTACAGTACATCAGCATGCCCATTCACGCACTACAGTGCGTAATTCACGCACACAATTCTAGATGCACGCATAAAAATTGTAAGCAGGGGGTACATGCACGCAAAGTAAAATCGTCAGAATGAATGTTTGGGATAGCCTATGTACGCTTAATTTTGCCTGGGGACGCATCAAACGACCACAAATACACAAATACGTCAGCGCCTGTCAGTCTATAGGTAGGCGGTCCTATGCACATCGACCAGTGAAGCGATTAGCCAATCAGCGATAACACTTTCAATCATTATCACGCAATAGAGATCAGACTAATGTATACACGTGCTGTACATGTAATAACCAGATATAACACGAGTTGATAATTTAACATCTTTGATCAACAGTTGATTGGAAATTAGCAAATTTTACCGACAAAAGGATAAGAATATCGACTATTTACGCCGCAAGTTTAAAGACTGTTTTCTCAAATTACAAATGAGTGTAATTTTGAATTATTCTCGAAATTTTCGGCACTTTCTAAGCAAAATTTTGCTTTCGTTTCATTCTTGCAAAAACGTTCTATAAGAGTTTTAATAATTTAACATATTGTGCCGAAATGCCAGGACAACTAACCAAAATACACGTACGCTTTTCTTTGATCCGAAAATTGATCCCGAACATCGGCGGTTTCATGTTCGCCGGAATTTCAGAAACCCTAAAATTTCGCAAAAATTCTCAGTTTCCAAGCCAAACATGAGAATGAATTGTTCCTTTATTATTAAATCTTTAAATATCGATCTTCAATTTGCCCCCATTTTGAAGATATTTGCTAAAATAATTAATGATCGGATGAATCTCTTAACACACTATGTGAAGCTGTACACGATTTTCCTATTCATTCCGCTAAACGCTGCCTATATACATTTACGTTTTTTTTACAAATATAAACTTTTTGTCTATAGAGTGGACTTATTTAACCAGAATAAAATTTGATTTGGTATAAAATTGAAAAAAAAACAAAAAACAAACAAACAAAAAACGATTTCCATGTGTTGATGCATTAAAATGAAATAATTTCATGAAAAATATTAACAAAACAAAACAATAATTATACTATATTATACTACATTTATATAAAATGTTCTTACAAACAAAAACATGTTTAAACTCGTGTGTACCCCCAGATTTTGAAATGTACCCCCAATTTTCAATGACAGGGGGTACATGTACCCCTACATTTAAAATTGAGTGGGCATGCTGTACATGCAATTACCAGATATAACACGAGGTGATAATTTTATATCTTTGATTAAAAGTTGATTGGAAAGTAGCAAATTTTACCGACAAAAGGATACAATTATCGACTTTTTACGCTGCAAGTTTAAAGACTGTTTTCTCAAATTACAAATGAGTGTAATTTTGAATGATTGTCGAATATTGTCAGCATTTTCTAGGCACAATTTTGCTTTAGTTTCATTCTTGCAAAATCTTTCTATAAGAGTATTAAGAATTTAAGATGTTGTGCAGAAATGTCAGGACAACAAACCAAAATACACATACGCTTTTCTTTGATATTTAGATTCTATCCGAAAATTGATACCGAACATTGGCGATTTCACGTTCGCCAGAAACCCAAAAATTACGCAAAAATTCTCGGTTGCCAAGCCAAACATGCGAATGAATTGTTCCTTTATTATTTCATCAACATTAAATCTTTAAATATCGATCTTCAATTTGCCCCCATTTTGAAGATATTTGCTAAAATAATTAATGATCGGATGAATCTCTTAACACACTATGTGAAGCTGTACACGATTTTCCTATTCATTCCGCTAAACTCTGCCTATATACATTTACGTTTTTTAGCTCACCTGTCACAAAGTGACAGGGTGAGCTTTTGTGATCGCTTTTCGTCCAGCGTCCGTCCGTCCGTCGTCCGTCCGTCCGTAAACTTTTACTTTAAATGACATCTCCTCATAAACCACTAAGCCAATTTCATCCAAACTTCACAGGAATGGTCCTTTGGTGGTCACCTTTAAAAATTGTTCAAAGAATTTAATTCCATGTAGAACTCTGGTTGCCATGGCAACTGAAAGAAAAAACTTTAAATATCTTCTTTTAAAAAACCCTAAGAGCTAGAGCTTAGATATTTGGCATGAAACATCTTCTAGTGAGTGTCTACCAAGTTTGTTCAAATAAAAGCCCTGGGGTCAAAATTGGCCCCGCCCCGGGGGGTCATTGATTTTCCCTATATGCATATAGTAAAAAATTAAAAAATCTTCTTTTAAAGAACCCAAAGAGCTAGAGCTAAGATATTTAGCATGAAACATGTTCTAATGGGTGTCTACCAAGTTTGTTCAAATAAAAGCCCTGGGGTCAAAATTGGCCCCGCCCCGGGGGGTCATTGATTTTCCTATATGCATATAGTAAAAACTTAAAAAATCTTCTTTTAAAGAACTCAAAGAGCTATGGCTAAGATATTGAGCATCAAACATGTTCTAATAGGTGTCTACCAAGTTTTTCAAATAAAAGCCCTGGGGTCAAAATTGGCCCCGCCCCAGGGGTCATTGATTTTCCATATGTGCATATAGTAAAAACTTAAAAAATCTTCTTTTAAAGAACCAAAAGAGTTAGAGCTAAGATATTTAGCATGGAACATGTTCTAATAAGTGACTACCAAGTTTGTTCAAATAAAAGCCCTGGGGTCAAAATTGGCCCCGCCCTGGGGGGTCATTGATTTTCCCTATATGCATATAGTAAAAACTTAAAAAATCTTCTTTTAAAGAACTCAAAGAGCTATGGCTAAGATATTTAGCATGAAACATGTTCTAATAGGTGTCTACCAAGTTTGTTCAAGTAAAAGACCAGGGGTCAAAATTGGCCCCGCCCCGGGGGTCATTGATTTTCTTTATATGTGTATAGCAAAAACTTAAAATCTTTGGAAAAACCCAAATAGCTACAGTTTAGATATTAAGCATGAAACATCTTCTAGTAAGTGTCTACAAAGTTTGTTCAAATAAAATCCCTGGGGTCAAAACTGGCCCGGCCCCAGGGGTGTCATTGTTTTTAACTATATGTGTATAGTAAAAACTTTAAAAAAAATCTTCTTTTAAAAAGCCCAATGAGCTAGAGCTTAGATGTTTAGCATGAAACATCTTCTTATGGGTGTCTACCAAGTTTGTGCAAATAAAAGCCCTTGGGTTAAATTGGCCCTGCAACGTTTGGGGGGGGGGGGTTTGGTGGGGCCTTTATACAGGTGAGCGACCTCAGGGCCATCATGGCCCTCTTGTTTTACAAATATCAACTTTTTGTCTTTAGAGTGGACTAATTTAACCATAATAAAATTTGATTTGGTATAAAAGTGAAAAAAAACAAAACCATTTCCATGTGTTGATGCATTATAATGAAATAATTTCATAATAAATATTAACAACAAAACAATAATTATATCAGAGCAACAGATAAGGTGCGTATTTACGCAATTAATTTTATAAAATACCAGGGCTAGCACTGGCAAATTTTTACTTTGAGCCAATTCTTCACGGCGAAAATTGCCTGCCTGTATTTTATTTTCAAATCAGGCAATGGTACGGCATGGGATATTTAGAAAAGCATTAACTATTATCCAACTTAATTTTGGTAGCTACATTTTTATCACATTAACAAATCTTACATATACATGTACAAGTATGATTTACAGTCAGTAATCATAATTTTAAGCTTAGAGTTCAGTAACTATAACATTTGCCAAAATTTACATGTAGGCAGCAAGGTTCCCTTAAAATCTAAGTCTGTGGCATGGTAGTGACATAAGGTCAATCTTTTTTTTCTCAGGAATACTCTGTTTGTCAAATAAATTCCTTCTCAATTTTATATTTTTGGAGCCATATTTAGGTCAGATTTCAGGGCCAAAATACCCTTCTTTGTAGTGGCCCAATAAAGGCTGCTTCTCATACCAAACTAGCCTCTTTTTTTCCCAGTTTGGTCCTCAAAATCCCCCAGTCTTTTGAAATTTCCCATAGAATTTAGAACAAAATTAAATGATGGTGTTGAATTTAGGTCTTTTACTGCATTATAAGTATTTCCCACTGCTTTTTGCTGTCCTATTTTGAAAAACATTCCCACTGCTTTTTGCTATTCTATTTTGAAGAACTTGTTAAAATTTTGTGTTAAATTTGAGACGCCATTTCCCAAAGTATGCTAAAATCACACATATTTTCCCCAAGAAAAAGGCTGAGGCCCCTTTGAAAGTTTCTCAAAAATGGTGTTTTGGCCCTGGATTTTATTGGCAATAACACCCCCTCCCACCACCGCCACCAAAAAAAAAAAATCAACAACAATAACTCTATCAACTCGTAATTCCTTCGATCTGTTTATCAACAACAATAAAATATACTGGTCAAGTTGCCAACTGCAGAACATAATTTGTCGCTACTTCATACCCAAAATGCTGATTTGATTAGCGATAATCTTGAGATGCCGCTAGTAATTGTTTCATATTGAATCTTAAGACCAATTATCCAGTGCATATTCAACAATCTGCCACAGGTATTTTTCACACCAATTTGTGTCGTATTTATCAGCTGATAAACATGTAAACATACCCCGAGGTCAGTGTATTAGACTGTGTTACTGTTCATATCAATATATCGTTCGGAACGGAAGTTACAAATGTAAACCAGTCAATGACCCACAAAAAGTAGACTGTGTCGCTGTGTTTTGAGATAAGAAGTGATAAAACGGAAGTTGTAGATGGAAAACCAGATGTGTACTTTTCCATTCTTAAAATAGAAAATGCTAAATTTAGACTGGAGATTCCAAAAGTCATACTTTTCGTAAGTTTGAGCCAATCGTGATTTTCTTGAGCCAATTTAATTATTTTGGAGCCAATTTGCTCATTGGCTCCTGCCAGCGCGAGCCCTGAAATACGCAATTGATTTTTTAAGAATGCATATCAAAACCCATTTAAAAAAATAAAATAAGCAATTGTTTTAAAAACCCGTGCGTATTGTCATTTTCATCACCGAAAAATTACTCTGTCGTACGCTCGTAGTTTTGGACAAATTATATCGATATGCATGCTATCCGAATATTCCCGAATCAATGCTAACTAATCAACGGTCTCCGGTCTTCGACAGTCCTCGGTCTCCAAAGACCGACTTAGCCATATCAATAAAGCATGAGACTGTCGATTTGTCTACTCAGGTCGACGGTCTTTACAGACCGGCAGAGACCGTTGATTTTGCGGAGACTGTCAATAAGTAGGTCCCAGCTGTATCACTAGACTCTTTAAAAGCAATATGGCGTCGTACAAATGAAACAAAACAGTCGTAATTAATAAAAAAATCAGTCAGAAAACGAACTTGTTAAAAGTATTATGAATAATAAAATGAGCATTTTATATAAAAAATAAAACAATTGTGAAAAGTTCTAGTAAATTGTTAATCCTATTTTTTTAAACAGTTTAAATTTTATTGATATTGAAACCATAAAATTCATATCTTCTTCATTGAATACCCAATTGATCTTGAAATCATAGGGTATTGAGTTTTGGAATACCCAATAAAATTGAGCCAATACCCAATTCCAAAGTAAATGATGGAGTAATACCCAATTCACTTTTAAAGCTTATCTGTTGCTCTGATTATATACTATGTAGCTCAGAGTTTCTTTTGTATAGCTATAAACTTTGGAAGTCTCTTAAGATTCAAAATATCAGCAATGCTATTGTGAGCATTGAATGACTAATCTGTAAACATATTAATTGCGACGCGCTTTTGGACTCCAACTTTTTCAGGGTTGGGAGTCCATGGACTCCATGTTTTAAAGTCCTAGTGAGAACCCTGATTATTTTGACCAGGCCACATGTCTTGAAAATAGAATTTGTTTTCCGCTATTTAGATCAAAGGTGCTAATCAGGTCTAGGATTTCATGATATTTATGGACAGTCTGTAAATTTATGGACCATCTATAATTTTACAAATTTTTCTATCTGTTATATTATGTTATATTTTTTATATTATCTGTTATTATTTATAGACATTAAATGCGAAAATAGTATAAGTTGTATTAAAATTAAAAACCGCAGATAAATAAGAATAAATTTACTGATTCAGTGTCTTATTCTAAGATTTAAAAAATAGGGGTGATTTTCCCCCCTCTATTTCAAAAGGGGGCGATTTTCAAAATCAAGGGGTGCCAATATAAACTGCCAATGTTAAATCGTCTGCATTAAGTTTAAACTGAGGCGTTCAACCGATGAAATAATTAAAACTAAGGCAGCAGAAGTTGTCCCCCCTTAATTCTTTTACGAAAACAAATCATTATAGAACTGTCGCGATTGATTATTAAGGGATTGACAATACAAACAATAGACCTATCTTTCATGTCTAGAACGTAGCCAAGCTAGGAATTGCCCCATTTTTCTTGATTATTTACTACACTAAAATGGCGCCCAACTGTCAGACCTAGCACACTAGTTCCGGTCGGTACGGAACATTCTGTTAATTTCCGTCAACTCACGTAACCAGTACCATACGGTACTAAATTATTATAATGAGCTTATAGTTATTTCCCTTTGGTTTCCGGTGTAAATGTAAACAAAACAACCAAATATAATGCAGGACGGAAGTTTAACGATTTTATAAACTTTTTTTATAGATGCGCGATTTTCACGCACATGAATTGAATTGTGAGCAATCTGTGAAATACTAGCCTGAATCGCGCGTCCTAGAATAGACACTGCTGATTAAATGATTAAAAGTAACAGTATGATAAGATTCAGAACAATTTGATGACTTTCAATTTTCACTTTTAACAAAAATTTCAAAGTCATCATACAAGAATGAAACTTATCTCATTACCTTTGTTAATAAAACAATCAATATAACAACTTGTTTTAAGCTGCGGATTTTAGTATAAAACTTAAAACAGCAAATTTAACATTGCGGATCTGTAAATTTATGGACTGAAAAATCTTTTAATTTATAGACTATCCATAAATATTTTAAAAGGTAATTCCTACCAGAAGTATTCTTCGGCTTCCGTTTCACATACATTGACATAGAGCGTAATGGGGAACCAAGCACGTGTTGCGGGAGAACACTTCTGATTAAGGAATTATCTTAAACATGTAGTATTTTTCTACATGTAAGTTGCGGGAAGCAATTACAGTTGTCATGAATTCGCAAAGAAACATGTGACATGGTAAGGAAAATTTAATTAAATGTGCAAAGCTTTGAAGAAAGGTACTATCGGATAGTAACATATATTTATTTATTAGAAGAATATATACCTCAACTGATTTACACCAGAAAGAAATGGCATGAGATAACATAAATGCTTAAAATTCATGTAAAACTGACCTAAGGTCAGTTGTGTTTACATTTCGAAGCTTGGTATCTTCAGGAAATTGAAGCGTTGGTAAAAAATTGACTTTTTTTAAACCATGAAATTCTGTTAAAACTTGTTCACATGTTAGACACTTAACCGTCTCATACTAATATAAGCAAAAACTTAAAACTAGGTCTTGTAATAGTGATACTTTTAGTTTTTAATATTTAGGGGCAGAACGCTCCAGGTGTCTGTGATTTAGAAGAGATGAAACAAATTCTATTGTAATTACAATCTAAAATGTTTCAGAATGAATGATATGTTTTATAGTTATTGTATACTGCATTATTAATATATTTCAGGCGATAACTAGTGGTAATCCATGTGATTCTCCAGTTTTCCAGATAATTGTAAGTAAATACTTATTGCTAACACAAATAATTGAGTAGCATACATATTTGTGTATGACTTATAAATGCTGTGCTTGGCATAATTTCTGGACTGCTTAAGGTATATCTTTCATACTGTTACACGTATATCTTTGACTATAGGAATAGTAACTTTGTAAATGAGAATGACCTATATATGTTTGTGAGCAGTAATTAGTCACACTGTATGGTCTGTTATGTTGACTGCTTAATTTGATATCAAATCCCTAACACTTGGAACTTAACCAGTGCTGAACAATTCCAGAGCTTATATACAATATACAGACAAAGTTACAGAAGATTTTATTAATAAAATGATATTATATGATTGTGTAAAGAAATGAATAAGCACATAATTGTTATATATACTGGCATGCGAGCAGTTCCCATACAGAAGCAGTACCCGTATTTTTCATTTTAACGCTTGATTTTTACTTGCATTCATCAAAAATTCATTTCAAATCAAGCAGATACATAAACGAGACAAAATCTAAGTGTCAGTTCGGCAGTACGTATATAAAGTCTCATTTTAAATCACTTTCACCTGTGCCGTCGTCAAAACGTGGACCTTGTTTTCTCTGGGGATTCCGTCCTTGCGCGCATGCCGCAAAAATACTTACACGTGAGGCTTGTTAAAGGGTTTTCCACTAATACCACCTGTTTACAAATAAGTAGGCAATGTGATGAAAACATTGTTTAATTAGCAGGAATGTTGACCAAATATTACTATATAAAATAATTTTATGGCTTTGATGCGTAAAATATCATGCATACAAGCATGCTATTGCCTGTAAATGCGTTGGGGGTAACGGTACCGGGTAATAGATACCCGCTTTTAGTCTACGCTCTATTTCCTGAATTACATCTATTTATCTTTTAGATAATGGTCTGTTCAACATTTGTAAATGAAAAATAGGTCCGATATAATTAAAATTGTTTATAATTATAATGGGTTAAGAATTTATGTACGGGAACTACTTCTCTTCATACAAAATAATTGATAATTTCGGTACTCCATATGAGGCCTCATAACTAAGGGTTATTCTATGTTTAGAACATGATGGAATTTCCATGATTTGTGTGACGAGCTGAATATTGATGTGTAACATTCAAATTTTGGTGAGTGAGCGTAATAAAAAATAATGTTTAAGTAACTACGATTTTTGTACGGGAACTGCTCGCATGCCAGTATATTAGAATGTGATTTAAAAGGTAGTTTGTGAAAAAATTATATGTTGCAATATATACAAAATGGATATAAGCAAGTACAGAAACAAATTAAATTGAAAAATTTACTGAATATATTATAGCTAATTTATTAAATAATGTGTAGTAATAACTGTAACAAAGGAGAATTTTTTGTTTGCAGAGCTCAAAGTTGATATCATCTGGAAGTGGGACAGACAGATACCGTCTTCTGTTGTCAGATGGAAGAAACAGTTACTCTCGTATGTTTGTCTTATTTTCTTTGACACTATAAAGGTTGTAGTTGTCTAAACTCAGCAACAGCAAATAATCAAGTTTGAAGAGATATACTTCAATGTCAAACTTGCATTGAAGAATGATTATCTGAGTTATAAAAAAAAAAAGTATCTTAAATCTTGTATCATATTGTTAGTGAAGCATATTTTTTACACCACGGATATAGTCCCAGGTTTTTACTGGAAGTAAAATATTGTGTTGTATATCCATGAACTGACTCACATAAGAGTGTCCACCTTGAGTACCCAGTTACAGAATTAGTAACTAATTGAATTTTTAACATTGTTGGGAGAATGACTGAGATCAGATTGAGGTTTTTAGATGAAGTATATTTTTGTGATTGTATTTTTCAGATGTGATGCTTGCCACACAACTCAATGAGATGATGCAGTCTGGAGAAATGGACAACCACTGTGTTATTCGTGCCAAACAGTACATCTGTAACACTCTACAGGGAGACAGGTAATGTTTCATTAAACATTTTACAGTATGTATGATAGCATCCAAAGAGGAAATTGTTTCTCTCTCTTATTTCATAATAAGCAGACTAGATGCCAGATTTTTCATCATTAAGGGGACTATATAGATAATCAGTTTTAAGGATTTATTTTGTTACCAGCATCTGAAATAAAATAAAAAAATCTGCATTTCTCTAAATTCAAAGGCAGACAAGGTCATGCATAGAACGATAGATTCCAAACATGTCTAGATAAATGTTTTACAATAAGAATTCCACCATCACAAATTTGTTTACAAAAGGGGACATGTCAATGTTTATGGTTAAATATTTTGTTAATCATATAAAAAGTAAGGGTAGGAATCTGTCAATTATACAAAGTTGGGAGTGCAAGGCTTTTAATCATGAAAATGGAAGATCTGTTTATATATTTGTAGACGGGTTATGATATTACTGGAATTGGAAGTGCTTGCAAAAGGTGCCGAGGTGAATGGGAAGATTGGGAACCCTGTACCTCTCAAAGCGGGTCAAAGTGCAGAGCCGGCACAACAGGCTCCGCCCTCAAACTCTGTGTCAAACGCAATGGCTAACAAACCAGTCCAAAGTAAGTGATATCAGGGTACTCAAATTTGTTTCCAAATTTAGTAAGGCTAGTACTTAGAGGGAACAGTAACACTTAACTCACACCACAGTGGCTTTGAAACCTGCTTGGGATAATTGGTTTTTGTTTTTCGAGGAACTTACGCAACTAGCTTGGTGGGTGCTTCTATTTCTACCAAAAATAATGCATGCATATGATACATGCCTTACTGTATCATACATACATGAAAATAAAGCTCTGTCTGTTGGGGTATCCCATTGCTTGTATACTGGTATGTGTGTTACCTCAAACTCAAGAAAGGTGAATGTTTGTCTACAAGTAAACCAAATACTTTCAAAATATAGTATTTAAAAGTATCTTTGCAGATTCTTTGTTTTACTTTGATTTTTAACTAGTCATTGATAAAATACTTTAACAACAAATTATATTAGAGATAAATTATTATATTGCAATTTTAGGATTGCTCATGAACAAATATGAGCAAACAGACGTTATTTACATTGCCATAGTTTCTTTTATTTCAGGTTCTATTATAAATGGAGCAAAAAGTCCTCCTTCAAACAAGGCAGCTTTCAATATAAAGCCAGGTACCCCTGGGACACCAGGCAGTAACAGAATACACAGCATTGCCAGTCTGACACCATACCAAAACAGGTTATTTTACAATATCTTTTCTGTTGTTTCATATTTTTGTTAACCACTTAAGGCTCTTTATGCCAAAAAAAACCAATGATTTCCCCTTCTTTATAAAGGGCTAACAAAAGTATTATAGTGATTTTATAATGCTTTTATAGCATTTTAGTAGCTGTTCACATGAAGAAAGTAGGACGTTATTTGAAATTATTTATTATAAATGTAGAAAATATAAACAAAGTAGTATTTTGACTTTCTTTCATACAAAATACTCAATTACAATAAGTGCACTAATTGCCAAAAGGCAGTAGAAGCCAAAAGATGGTTTAGGTAATTGCCCGATGAGTAACTGTTTGGAATGTATAACAGATCACCAAAAATAAGAAAAGCTTATGAAAAATAAAAGTAAAAGCATTTCTGAGACCTAATAATCTGGATTTTTTTCCCTTAAAGTAAGATATTCATTTTGAAAATAATATCGTTTGATAACAGGTGGAGGATTCGTGCTCGAGTTACACAGAAAAGCAACATCCGAACATGGAGTAACTCTAAAGGTGAAGGCAAGTTGTTCAGCGTGAATTTGATAGACGAGAGTGGTGAAATAAGAGCTACAGGGTTTACCGATACAGTAGACAAATACTTCAATATGTTGGAGGTCAATAAGGTATAAGCTTCATCATAGTATTAGTACTGTACTTGAAGTTTGATTCAGCCTGATGTTTTCTGTGTAAAATTTCAGGCTTTAAGTCAAGAATCTTGAGTGCTAGTTATGGAAATAAAACCAGTAAAGAGTTTTGTCAGCCTGTAAATTCTTAAATATTCACCACATGTATGTGAGGGGGCATCCGTGGCCGAATGGTTAAGGTCGTTTACTTCAAACCATTTGCCCCTCACCACTGTGGGTTCGAATCCCAACAGGGACTTTGGATTCTTTCATGTGAGGAAGCTATCCAGCTAGCTTACGGAACGTCGGTGGTTCTACTCAGGTGCCTGTTCATGCCTGCAAATAATGCACGGAAGGGCACCTGAGGTCTTCCTCCACCAGTAAAGCTGGAACGTCGCGATATGACCTATACTGTGTCGATGTGACGTAAAACCCAATAAACAAACAAACAAACATGTATGTGATGAGGATAATTATACTGGCATTATTCAGTCAATCTGTCCACCAGGTTCATGCTAAAAATCCTGTATTTCTTCATAAAGGATTTATTATTAGTGCTTGAAATGAATATAAACTATCCAAAATCTCTCTTGCATTTTAAAATGTGCAACAAAAATTTGGTTTTAAAAATTGATAATTTTATAAAATTTACCATGTTGGTTTAGTCATGCATTGTAAGATTAAAGTTTAGAAAGGAAATAGTTTTATTAAACTCTTTGTACAAACTTTAGTAATTGAAAGGCAGTTATAATGAAAGTATTTGTTGATCAAACCAGCTAGCTTATAGGTCTTTGACACTTCAATTGCCCATATGTGCCTGAAATAATGTGCAAAGGTGCACCTGAAGTCTTTCTACAATATTAAAGCATAATGGCCACCATATGAAAGGTTGGTATAACTTAAAATCAAGCAAAAAAAACCCAACAAAACAACAAACGAGCAAAAAACATGTTAACAAAGTTTGTAGATTTTTTTGTTCGAGCTTAGTTTATCAGGTCATTGATATGATAAATAAAAGGTATCAATAGGTTTGCATACAGATACCAGTTGCATTGAAATAAATTAAATATGGTTTTGTTTTCTGCCCTTAGGTATACTATATTACAAAAGCAACTTTGAAGACAGCCAATAAGCAGTACACCTCAGTGAAGAACGACTATGAAATGACATTCAACCATGATACGATTATTGAACCTTGCGAGGAGCAGACAGATCTACCCACAATGACATTTGACTTTGTTAAAATTGATAGCTTGGAATCGAAGCAGCCAAACACTGTAATAGGTAAAATCTTTTGTTACATTGACCTTGAAATTGTTTTAGTGCCTTCATGAGTGATCATGAAATAGATTCATATAAAGCAATGTAGCTGTATGTAAAAAAGTAAGAAACCATTGCCGAATTATTGCAGCAAAGTTATTACACTGCTTTGAGAACTTTTCAAGACATTGTTGCAAACATTTTACTTGGATATTTAGTAAAAAAACTTTCTGGTGGTGGTGTTGGTAGTTTTCACTCCAGATCACAGCAGTTAGCCACATTGAATATACCAGAGTACATTTCAGCCACGGCAACGTTCCTGGGCAAGCTGTCAAGCAGTTTACGAGTACTAGTTGCCTTCACTTTCGCAAGGAACTTAAACTTCTGTACATACCAGAGCAGAGGCTGAGTGCGAATAACCTAAGAAAAATGTTCAAGATCAGTCACAAAGAAAGTGACCTGCCCCGCCCGGGAATCGAATCTGGGTCCCCTGATTCACATTTCAACGCTCTACCTATTGAGGTAACCGGACGGTCATAAAATGCTTTGTTGTTGTGGAGTATAAAATACATACGATTTCTTAAGTAACAACAAAGTTACCATGGTTAATAGAGCCACTGATCTACTAGACACAAAGGTGTATCTTTTGAAGCAGGTGGCAGTTTTAAGCATGAAGAAGCCGTAACATAAATTGCTGTGCTGTGATCTTGTAGTACACCATCCCCCCAATACTTGTAATAAGAATTTATATCTGAATTTTGAAATCCCAAGTTGTATTTATTGCAGATGTTTTAGGAGTGGTGAAAGGTGCCAATGATGTTTCAACAGTTACTGGTAAACAAAGTAAGAAAGAAATATCTAAGAGAGATGTTCAGTTAGTCGACCAGTCCGGTATGGTGGTGAATCTTACACTCTGGGGATCAGACGTGAGTAGACAGATATTTTATTTTAAGATTTATGTTCTTAATTGAATTTGTGGTGAAAAGTTGCATCACACCAAAAACCTGTTGAATATGAAATACGGTTTAATCAAAAGAAAATATTTTAAGTAATTAATGTTAAGGAGTAATGTTTTTCAGCCAAATAATTCAGGGAATAAATTCTATTTAATGGTTCATCGTTCTATGATTTTTATGCGGACTTGTGTCAGACGTTTTGGTGTGTGCTTTGTTAAAAAAGTGCGTTTGGTATGTTAATATGAGAAAATAAATGGTTTTAAATAACATAATCTCTGTAAAAAAAAAGAAATAAAGAAAAGACCCATCAACCAAGTTTTAGCTTGGTGAAGGGGAATTTCTTTGTGAATTGAAATTTTTCAATTGAGATTGCAACCTAGTTAAATCTCAAAATATATCAAACTTGACCAATGTTTGCTGTCACAGAAATTATTACATTAAATCAAAAATGTATGTTTTTTTTGCTACCTGTTAGTGATTCACAAAGTGTTATTAGAATATGCCACAAAATTCTCGAAGTTAATTACAATAACATAAAATTATTTCAAGGCTGAGACATTTAATGCCGATGGTAATCCGGTGCTCGCGTGTAAAGGTTGCCGGCTGTCAGACTGGGGTGGTCGTTCTCTGTCAGTACTTGCCAGTAGTCAGATGCTGATCAACCCTGATATGAGAGAAGCACATTTGTTGAAAGGTTGGTGGCAGAGAGAAGGACAAAATAAAAGTGATTTTTCAGCGTACAGATCTGAAGGTGGCACTGGAGCTGCTGGTACGATCAGTTTGTTATATTTTTTGTGGTATTGCTTCTGTTTCGAGTTAAATTTTACTCTGAAAGATAGGAGGAACATAAATAAGGATCATCTTTGCCATGTATTACCATATCTAATAAATATATGGCTTTAATTAATAAGAATCTTTAAATTTATGTAAAATAATTGTATGATTATAGTGTATAATAGATACATTCATTGGCACATGGCTTATATTCTTCTACATACATGTACACTGCATGTATATTATGAACAGATTTGTCTGAAAAGAATGAAAATTTGTACTGCATGCATTTGCATATTTATAAGGAATGATGTAATTTCGGTAATTTCATTACATTTTAAATTTAAAACATTATAAGAGTTATAGAAAAAAGTTTTTAGCTCGACTATTCGAAGAATATGAGAGCTATTGTAGTCGCCCCGGCGTCGGCGTCAGCGTCCGCGTCGGCGTCTGCGTTGGTTAAAGTTTTTTGTAAAGTCAAATATCTCAATTATTGCTTGAGATATTCAATTGAAACTTACAATACTTATTTATAGTAACAAGGTACATCAGATTGACAAGTTCGATAACTCTACCTACACTATTGACAGAATTATGCCCCTTTTTAACTTAGAAATTTTGGTTAAAGTTTTTTGTAAAGTCAAATATCTCAATTATTGTTTGAGATTTTCAATTACAATACTTATTTATAGTAACAAGGTACATCAGATTGGACAAGTTGGATAACACTGCCTACAAATATTGACAGAATTATGCCCTTTGAAACTTAGAAAATTTTGGTTAAAGTTTTTTTTGTAAGTCAAATATCTTCAATTATTTGCTTGAGATATTCAATTGAAAATTTAAAAAAATAAAATTTACTTTTTTATAGTAAAACAATGTACATCATTTTGCAAAATTTCATTTTTAACTCTGCCTTTGGCAAATATTTGCAGAATTTTTCCCCTTTTGAAAACTTAGAAATTTTGGTTAAAGGTTAAAAAAGGTCTTCAAAGATTATTTTACTTGGGATACTTTAAAAACCACATGTACTTAGGGTCATAATTTGCAGGGTTTCCATAATTTGTATGTCACTGACCAAGTTCCATAACTCTATCTTGCCATTAAGGCTGATTCATATCCCCTTTTCTACTTAGTCTCTTGGTTAAATGTTTACATGCAAGTTTTACATATCTTCAATAACTTATTAAAAAGATATTTATTTGAAAACTTCAACCATATGCAATTGGGGTCAGAATTGTAGGTCACTGAACAAAGATCCATAATTCCCTATCTTGCATTTAAAGGCTTGATTTTTCATGCCCTTTTTTAAAAACTTAGAAATTCATGTTAAAGGTTTTGCTTGTAAAGCTTTGTTATCTTCCATAACTACTGAAGGGTTTTTGTGCCTTTTTTTGGGACAATTTTTTATGCATTTCGTAATAAATAAAGGCAGTGATTTACTTTGGATAAAGCATCTTTATACCTTTTTCTGTCAATTTTTATGTATTCATAGGTAATTAGTATTATTATACTCAATAAAAACACCCTTGTGACATTACCTTCCAAATAGTCAAGCCAATACTGTATAATTAGACTCTCTCTAAGGCCTATAACATGAATTTATAAAAAAAATTAGCCCTTTTGTGAACTTAGAAAATTTAACATTATCAAGGCTCTTTAACTATCAAGCACTTAGAATAGTCGAGCGTGCTGTCCTACCGACAGCTCTTGTTATATCAAATGTTTACAAGAATATTTCTGAATTTCAGGTGTTAAGTACTTCTAAAAGCATTTGTTTGGTTTGTGAAACTGATGTAACTTGTGTGCTAAATTCAGGGTTTCAGATTTTTTACAATCTTCTACCCATGTGTATGTGGCTGTCACAATTTGTGCTAAAATTGATTACTCTTTGTTTTAGTACTGTACAAATGTGGAAGGTTTAGAATATATAAAAAATTATGAGCAATCTATGAAGAAAAGTGAAGAAGTTATAAAGTTTGTACGAATATTTTCAGGTTCTGGAACAAATTGGAAAACGTTTGGTCAGTTAAAGAATGAGAATATTGGACAGGGAGATAAACCTGATTATTTTACATCAAAGGGAACAGTTATCTTTCTTAGAAAAGAAAATTCTATGTATATGGTTAGTCACTTTTGTTATCATGTCAATTACCATAGTAATAATCTACAGAGGGGGTCCGTGGCCGAGTGGTTAAGGTTGTTGATTTCAAACCACTTACCCCTCACTGGTTTGTGTACAAATCCCAACAGGGACTTTGGATTATTATATGTGAGGAAGCTATCAAGCTTGCCCACAGAACATCAGTGGTTCTACTCACATGCCTGTTTGTGCCCGAAATAATGCACAGAGGGCACCTGAGGTCTTCCTCCACCAGTAAAGCTGGAACATCGCCATATGACCTATACTGTGTCTGTGATACGTAAAACCCAATCAAACAAAAATTAATCTAAGGATCTTAAGCTATGTGGGTTTGTACCCCATCAGGAGCATGATATTGTTTCCTTGAGCAAAAACCTACATGTACGCTCATTGCTCAGGATTGGATGGTTCCAGGAACAGATTCTAGAGTGTGCCTATAAGCTTGTAGCTTCCTACACAATCGAACAGAAATAAATTTTGTATAAATTAACCACTTTAGACATGGGTCATAGAGCATCTATGCATAAGGCAAAAAGTGTTGCTCTTTTTCAAAAAGATCCAGAGGTTATAAAAGATTGTCTTTAAAATAAAAGATTTGCTTTTAATGATAGTGTCCTTCTTTGACTATGCCATGGAAGGTCTGGCTGTGACTAAAAAGATACTAAGCGGTACTTCAAAAAAAATTCCTGAGCCTGTTGAAGTCTATAGTCTTTGTATGACCATTTATATATATTTTCTTTGCAATTAAAGAATTAAACTTAATATTTCAAGAATAACAATCTAGATTTCAGTACATGTATAAGGCAAAGAATATTATAATGACAATACCATACTAGGACATTGTAGCTGTCATTTCTTCATATTTTTTGCAGAATTATGCCCTGCTGTTGTTTTTCTGACAGTGTACAGTTTTAGTATTAATACTAAGTACTGGTTTTGTAGTTATGCATCTCTTTTATTTTTGGTATATATTTAAGCATTTCAAGATTTCCTTGTCAATCAAGTTTTATGTTAAACTTGTTGGTGTTTTGATTGGTGTAAAGCTGTTACTTGGGAAATATGCTGGGAAAAAGATCTTGTGTAATCTGGAACTTTCCCAAGTTATGAATATGTTAAGAAAACAAACTATTTTGTTCGCTTAGAATATATTACATTTGCTACTTTAGGCTGAAACATAGTTTTATCCTCTTTGTTAAAAATCTGTTGTATAAATACTTACCTTGCTTGTAATTATTTTTAGGCATGTCCTACAGATTCATGTAATAAGAAAGTTGTGGATCAAGGGAATGGAATGTACAGATGTGAGAAATGCAATAAAGAATTCCCCAACTATAAATGGAGAATGATTCTCTCGGTAAGATTTTCTTTTACCTAACAAGTTTATCACTAACATCTTTGAAACACTTAGGATAGAATGATAGCTCAACCAGCATCATGATGCTATAGCTGTAAAAGTTTGTTTGTACCTTTGAAATAGATGGGAAAAACACTCATTTGCAGAGTTATATTTAGGGAGATGCAAATGTTTAGTGCAAAAGTTCATATTGTACAAGTAATAAATGGATAAATTAAACATGTGAGCATTATATCTTCTTGATAGACAGTATTTCATTTGCTTAATCAACATTTAAATTTAATGCAAAATGAGAAAAATCAAATGAAAAGTTGAATTTTCCTTTTCAGGTAAACTTGGCAGACCATACTGGTAACCAGTGGGTGACTTGTTTCCAGGACTCGGCAGAGTGTATTCTTAATGTGAAAGCTGATGATCTTGGGAATATGAAGGATACGGTATGTATATTAGAAACTTTAATTACTATGTAGGGGTGTCTGTGGCCAAGTGGTTACGGTTGTTGACTTCAAACCACCTGTCCCTTAACGCTGTGGGTTCGAATCCAGACAAAGACTTTGCTATACAGCTAGCTTACCAAATGTTGGTGGTTCTACTCGAGTGCCTGTTCATGTCTGAAATAATGTATGGAAGGGCACCTGAGGTCTTCCTTCACCAGTGTAGCCGGAACGTCGCCATATGACCTATACTGTGTCAGTGTGATGCAAAACCGAATCAAACAAACATGTATTTCTCACATTCTGGGCTGACATGTTCTTAAAAATATTAATGGGCATAGAAGGTTTTCCTTTGAGTTAAAGCTGGAAAATCTGCATAAATATTAATTTGCTTGCAAATGTATGTTTAACCCAAATAAAACGAAATAAAAGATAAAATCATATTTCAATGCATTAGCTATTGTTGTTGAAAACAAGCTAGGGTGTTGCATCTTGTATGCTATAAAAATCTAGGTACAAAAATATATAGTATATTATATGTGTATCTATCATTTTATTTTTTGTCTATGATGTAAATATGTGTTTGTTGCTTTAGTAGATTTTGTATGAACACCTTTTAGATGAGAATGATGCATGCAGTATATTTAAATCATGTCTATTTACCATTTCTACTTATAGAATGAGGCACAATTTGACCAAGTGTTCACAGAGGCTAACTTCAAAACTTACATTTTCAAGCTCCGAGCTAAAGTGGAAACCTATAATGTAAGTATAAATACTGATCAAGTCTAAACTGAACAAAAGTTAATCACAAGTTAAACAGAACATTTGTTTATTGTTACGAGATATATGATTGGCAATGAACTGCTGTTTCATGTAAACTAGAAATTTATGTAACAATTCCTAAATTTGATGAACATTATGAGTAACAATTCCTAAATTCGATGAATGTTTATGTGATAAATTTCTTTTACTTGGACAAAAGTGTTCAGGATCATTGTAAAGTCATAGTTGTGGTTGGGATGCATATAGTAATTTTGTTACTAGATATATATTGGATGGAAAATGAACTGCTCTTCCATGTAAGCTAAATATATCTGTTTTGAAGAAAAGAGTCAAGCTATTGTGATTGCAGTGTGGTTATCATCGTGCTAAAATTTCAATGTAGCCCATTATTCAAACATTTTTAAAGCAGTCAACATGAAGATTGGAATAGTTGATCTCCATATAAGACAAGGGGAATAATTCCGAAAGTTATGTTTTGGAGTTATGTCCCTTAACATTATTGTCAAGCATTGTTTCAAAAATTGTTATTGATAGTTGTTGCCCTTAACAGATGAGTTTTAACATTGCATGCAGTTTATTTCTAATTATATTATAAAGATACGATTATATGATAAAATAAGAAAGTTACTTTATAGAGTAATCTGAATATTGGTTGTAGTCTTAAATTTAGAAATATTGACTTGACTTTGATTTGTCAATCTAGATATTATGATTGTTTATTTATAGGATGAAAGTCGCCTCAAGACAGTTTGTGCAAATGCTACACCAGTTGACTGGGTGACCGATGGTAAAAGATTAATCGAAGAAATAAACACTATGCTGAACTAAAGTTGTGTTTAGTGAAACGTGTGTTCAAAGAAACTTTACATAAATTAAGATCATGTTGTAGAACTATAGGGTTTTTGATAAATATGTCAAGTAGAAAGTTTTGTATTTTTCAAACAGCATGTGTGGGAATTGGTTATATTTAATTTGTTATTTAGAGGTAGCCATGTTTAAAGAAACCATGTTTTGAGAATGTTTTTGTTGATTTCTGTGTTTACAGTGTAGAATTTTTTTTACCTTTATAAGTATCATGTGTTTATTGATAAATAATAAGTGTTAAAATAAACGAAAACGGGTATTAAAATGAAGAAACTTTAGGAAAACTAAGGAAAATACTCTTGAAGTTTCTGAAATTTAAACTTGATGATAATGTACTTTGTATTAAATCCATTTATCTTTGGCCTCGGACAATTTAAATATTGGAATAAATGAGTTTATCTGTTTAATTCCATCACACTTGATGTGACATACTTGTTTGCTGTAAACAATAACTTGAATTAATTCTGATTGTTTTAGCTGAAAGTGTATGGATATAGTGCTAAATTTTATTTTTTTTTTGTTTCTTTGTGTTGGACTTGAATGTTTTTAGGTCAGTTTAAATTAACAAAAAAAGAGTGAGATTTTGTTTATGTTTTATGTTTATTGATAATAAGCCTAGCCTAGCCCAGCTCACATATTTAAGCATTTTGACCAGACAGTGCAGCCAATTTATCAAATTCTATTAAACTTACATTGAACAGATTCAGGTCCCAATTTGAAGTAAAATATCATATGTCCATTTAATAAGATCAAAAGTGGAGGTTCAATTAATATTTCCGAGTTTAGAATTTAGAAAGAAAACAATGCTGTGAAATTTTTGACCAGTTCACTTGCCTGGATTTTTTTAATGTGTTCATTTGTATATGTAAAAAAGGAAGAAAAAGCAGGAAGAAAGATGACTTATATATATATATATTGTTGCATTATAATTATGTCAATAAACAAACTAAAAGTGATATGTTATCTTATTTTGTATTCCCATGTTGAATAAGTTTGGTAGAAAAATGATTGAAGTATTAAAATGCATGCCATTTATTCATTGTCCTGTTTTTAGCAAGAAGGAATATAGCATAAGATGTATTGAAATTCTATTAGAAAAGTTGTTGTGACATACTACATGTACTATTGAATATTGAGAAAAGGATGATCATTTTTTAGCTCGACTTTTTTTTGGTCCGCAAACATGTACCTGGATCATAATTTTTTAAGTTCTTGGTTTATTGTCTTCATACTTGGCCACAACAACCCTTGGGACAAGACCTTTCAGAAGACCACACTAACCTTGACCTTCATCCATAAATGACCTTGACCTTCATGGTTAAAAATCCATATCTTGCTTGTTCTTGCTATTATTGGCAGTAACTTTGTTATTTTGAATGGATTGTTTTCAAACTTGAACATAATAACCTTCAGGGATAGCCCTTTAAAATAACCAGACAGACCTTGACATTCACTCATAAATGACCTTGACTTTGAAGGTCAAATTATTGAAATTTTCATTTTTTTGGCTATTATTGGCTGTAATTTTTTTTGAATGGATTGTCTTCAAACTTGAACATAATAATCTTGTGTGTGCATTTTGTTTGATTTATCTTTTAATATAGCTATATAAAAATGAGTGTTCCTTGAACAGACATTCACCCCTATTCAAACAAAGAACCTTTAAGTCCAATACCGATCTACTTATTTCTTAAGTAATGTTAATTGTTAATCGGCATTCCAATAAAATCTAGCAATGGAAGTTTTGAAATATTTACTATTCATTATTGGGTGTACTGACAGTTTTTTTTTTGTATTTTTTTTTGGGGGGGGGGGGTGTTGTTTCATAAAAACTTCATTACTGACAAGTATTAAAACTGTCGGACACCATTTTCCGCTGCCTCTCCTTTCGTCTTAGATTTTTAGCTCGACTATACGAAGTATATGGAGAGCTGTCCTACTCGCCCCGGCGTCCGCATCCAGATTTTAGATTAAAGTTTTGGTGCAGTAAAATATTTTTCACTATAACTTTGTCATTTCTTAAGGTATCAACTTCAAACTTCAAATATATGTTCCTTATCATCAACCACATCATATGTGACAAGGTTCATAACTCTAGCACCAATATTTTCAGATTTATCTCCCCTTGAACTTAGAATTTTCCTTAAAAAATACTATTTTTTACTGTTACTTCCTTATTAGCTCGACTATTCGATAAGAATAAGTAGAGCTATTGTTGTCACCCGAGCGTCGGCGTCGGCGTTGGTGTCCGCGTCGGCGTAACCACTTATGTAAAAGTTTTTGTAATAGTTCAAATATTTATAAAGTCCATTGACATATGGCTTTGAAACTTGGCACACTTGTTCACCATCATGACCCCTACCTGTAGACAGGAGGAGGTAACTCTATCAAGCATTTTGACAGAATTATGCCCCTTTTTCGACTTAGAATTTACGTTAAAGTTTTTGTAATAGTTCAAATATTTTCAAAGTCCATTGACATATGGCTTTGAAACTTTGCACACTTGTTCAACATCATGACCCCAACTTGGAAACAGGAGGAGGTAACTCTATCAAGCATTTTGACAGAATTATGCCCCTTTTTCAACTTAGAATTTACGTTAAAGTTTTTGTAATAGTTCAAATATTTTCAAAGTCCATTGACATATGGCTTTGAAACTTTACACACTTGTTCACCATCATGACCCCAACCTGGAAACAGGAGGAGGTAACTCTATCAAGCATTTTGACAGAATTATGCCCCTTTTTCGACTTAGAATTTACGTTAAAGTTTTTGTAATAGTTCAAATATTTTCAAAGTCCATTGACATATGGCTTTGAAACTTTGCACACTTGTTCACCATCATGACCCCAACCTGTAAACAGGAGGAGGTAACTCTATCAAGCATTTTGACAGAATTATGCCCCTTTTTCGACTTAGAATTTACGTTAAAGTTTTTGTAATAGTTCAAATATTTTCAAAGTCCATTGACATATGGCTTTGAAACTTTGCACACTTGTTCACCATCATGACCCCAACCTGTAAACAGGAGGAGGTAACTCTATCAAGCATTTTTTTTACTATTAAGCACTAAGAATAGTCAAGCGTTGCTGTCCTACCGACAGCTCTTGATTCTTAAGGGATCAACCTCATACTTCAAATATATGTACCTTAACATCATCCCCATCTTATGTGACAAGGTTCATAACTCTAGCACCAATAGTTTCAGATTTATCTCCCCTTGAACTTAGAATTTTCCTCAAAAAGTACTATTTCTTACTGTTTCTTCTTTATTTCTTAAGGGATCAACCTCATACTTCAAATGTATTTACGTTATCATCATCCCCATCTTATGTGACAAGATTTATTACTCTAGCACCAATATTTTCAGATTTATCTTCCTTTGAACTTAGATTTTTTTACTAGAAAAATGTTATTTTTTATTATAACTTTTTATTTTTAAAGGTATCTACCTCAAATTTCAAATACTTATTCCTTATCAACAATTACATTTTATGTGACATTGTTCATAACTCTTGATGCAATATTTACAGATTTATCTCTCTTTGAACTTAAGATTTTCTTTAAGAAATATAATAACTTCTTTTCTTTTTAAGGTATCTACTTCAAACTTCAAATATATATTTCTTATCATTACACAAATGTTGTGTGACAAGGTCCATAACTCTAGCATGACTATTTCTAGAATTATTCCCCTTGATCTTGGAATTTTTGTTAACAAATATTATTTTTTTACTATAACTTAATACATAATTAAACATAATTGATTTTTCTTTCATAGTTTTGTCCTCCTTACTGCGTCCAGTATTTTATTAGTCGAGCTTCGCTGTCTCCTGTGACAGCTCTTGTTAAGACACTTCATCAGTTTTGAATACATATTTTATTCCAAGGCCCACCAGACATTAATTTTGACTATAGCTCTTTGTTGGGACAATTTTGTGATCGAATTGGTCAGTCTGCACGTACTACGGCCTGTAACAACATGAGAAGGAATAAGTCAAATCCTTGTCTGATGAATAATTAAGAAGGGATAAGCCATGGTTTATATAACCCAGAACGATCATTGCACATGATCAGTAGATGACATCTAATACTTTCGAGGTCATTGGTCATTCAAAGACCAGGGTCACAGTGACGCTAAATGTAAAATTAGCGACAAGTCAATAAGTTGTATAAATAACACTTTTACAGGCTGGTGAAGTAGGGATATCCTTGTACTACAGCACATGTCTAGTTAATTAGGGAAAGTAACATCAATGGTGTAATCTGATTGGTTATTTATCTCGTGGCCACGACTTAGTAACTCGTGGCCACGAGTTAGCTATCTCGTGGCCACGACATAGTATCTCGTGCCCACGACTTAGCTTTCTCGTGGCCACGACTTAGTAACTTGTGGCCACGACATAGTATCTCGTGGCCACGACTTAGCTATCTCGTTACCACGACTTAGTAACTCGTGGCAACGACATAGTATCTCATGGCCACGACTTAGCTATCTCGTGGCCACGACTTAGTAACTCGTGGCCACAACATAGTATCTCGTGGCCACGAGATAAATAAAAACACACACATGTCACATTTGTGCCACCGTACGATAGCCACTCGGTATCATATATAACTTCCATGCATTTCATGAAACTTTGTATTATTGTTTGCTTTATGAGGTTTGATGTGCCCTTTATGGCTACACACATCTAACATTGTCAAAAAGAGACCCGGACATGTCACCAGTTATGTCATTGAGGGGTAAATTTTGAAACACAAAGGTGTGAAAATTTCCCTCCATGGAGTATAAGCAAAACATAATTTTGAACCAACAGTAGGTCCCTGTTGGGTGGCAAATGATAACTTAAATGTTCAGTGACTTTTTTCTTCAAATTTTTAAGCAGTGATTTATATACTCTCTCCAAGTATGCATACTATTAATGACTGTATTTTACATTTTATAAAAATAATATTTAGTACATGTATTCATGTGAAAAAAGACATCCATAAGCTTAAAGATACTTTTAAAATCAAATAAGTTGAAATATAAACATTAAAAAATAACAACCTAATAAGTTCTATGAAAGTGACCTTAACTTTGTTACATTACTTTAATACTACAGCGATTATTATTTCCCTTGCTAGACAGAATAATTAAAAAAGACCCTAGAATATGTTGTCATTTACAATACAATACAATACAATACAATACAGTTTATTTGCTTTAAACATTATAACCACGTTTCTATCATAATAATAGACAGGTAACATAGTTATTAGCAATAATATGCAAAACAAAATGTTATGAAATCTGTGTTAGTGTTTAATATGCTCGAATGTTAATCAAACAATTATATAAGTTTATGTTAATCACCGGTTTGGAGTTTTAATGCGTATGAATTAATTAAGTACGAAGGCCGTAGGCTCGGACAATTATTATTTCGTTTCTAGCAATACAAATTAAGGGTCCAGAAGATCACCAACGCATATTTTTCAAAAGGCAAACAATTCCGCTTCCGATTTGGAAAAAAAATATAGGAAATAAAAACACATTTTCATTTTAAAGACGCATTCCTCAACATGAGCCAACCATTTTCAATAAATCAATTCTGAAATAACAAAATGAATAAAGATTGTTAAAAAAAGTATTGATATAATTTACAATTGAATAAATTTTGAATGTAATGAATGACTGATTTTGCCATATATATTTACCCAAATTTTTGCTGTTAAATAGATCAGTAGGGCGCTGTTTTTTGAATAGTTTTACATGTCTTTTTTAAAATAATTAAGATGGTTTGAAAGTGCTGCTTGGACATATGTACATTATTTCTTTGTTCATTTGATAATATTATATGTTTTAATCGACGTTCATATATGTAATGAACATTAGAATTGATCTTGAGCAATTCTGCTTTAAATGTACAAATTAAGCTGAGTTTTTAAAAGAAGTTTATATAGAATATAGAGT